CCTATTTGACGTGTGGCATGCACTTACTCTGTGTCTCCAATATATGTATTTTAATACTCTCTAGGTTACTTGCAAAGATTAAATTCTCTAGGGTGTCCTCTTTAGTGTCTCTTTAAGAGGCTTCCTCAGTGTTATGTTGTTTCCCTTTCTGAAGTTGAGTACCACTCTACTTTATTTTGTTGGCTGTTGTTGCTTCATCAAAGCTATTGAAGATAAGAATGTTTTATTTGTAGCTGCAGAATAGCCCTTCAAATATCAACTCTTCGTAAATTATGAACACTTCGAGTATGTATGCTATTCAGAATGAAATCAAGGGTTAATTCCCTCTTGTTGGATACTCCAATCTGGTGAAGTGTGAAGCAGTCACTGCCCTGAAATAAGTTCACTGTGCAGCACATTCTGATGTGGCACTTGTCCAGTTTCCATATGCATATTTTTCCTCCTGCAATATTTATGACTCCCTAGGCATGTCAGTCAAAGCCGATCTTCTAACTTGTTGGCTTGTTACATGTTGCTGATAACACTGTCATGTGCTTGGAATACATGGGAATTCCAACTCACTCACTGAACTGATAAATTTGTTAATCTGGTTTTACTTCAAGTTTTCTTTAATAGGCAACACTATTCCACTACTGGCATGGCCTGCTCAACCTTTCCTGTATACTGATGTTTTTTTTACTACAGCAATCTCAGGAAAAGTCAGTGTGAAACTTTAAGTACATTCCATATGATTCCAGAATATTAAAATAATATGTTATCACATGGTTGAATAGGAGGAAACATCACAGTGACAACTGTATATCTAGTACTGAGACATCAAGGAACAAAAACACTGCTATCCCAGATAAACAGATTTAAAATGTTGCAAGAAATACTGGCATCTGGCATGCAAATTATTGTTTTTTTCATGAGTCTAGCACTGATCTAAGACCATTTTACTTTTGGGAACTATAAAATCTGGTATATCTCCCCTAGTTCTTATTTGTTTAACATTATTATGGTTACCTTCTACAGCCACAGAGATTCAATCTGTGCCCACATCTTAGAAATCTGTACTCTGAGTAAGAAGTGTGAATGTCTGCATGTCTACACAAAGACTTACTGAACTGTAGTAAGTATGAAATTGAATTGTAATGTCCCTGGTGCTCAGGGAGAAGTGTTTCATAAAAGGTTTTGCTATTTCAGACAGTGGTTTCACTCCAAAGCAGGTGCATCAGAGAGAAGATGAAATGAGTGTTGTTTTATTACATAATTTTGTCTTGTGGTTGGATTCTCTGTGTCAGTAACACTCCTCAGCAGCAGAGCATATATCATGTTTGTCTTTAGAAAGAAGAGTAAACTCACACTGAAACTCTCCCCTTAGGGAGATTCTATCAGAATCTTTCCTCCATACAGGTGACTGTTTCCATGATATCTGTAGCAATGCTATGTCCTTAAGAGCTGTCAAAACTATCTGAATTTGACTGATTCTAAATTTATTGAGCAACAGGAATAAATAGGCACACACATAACACCTTTGTATATAAATATTTCTTAAGAAACTAGAAAAAAATCAGATGATTTGAAAAAGAAAGTAGAGCTCTGCCAGTGGGGCAGATAAACACAAATTTCAAGTACAGCTTAGAAAGAAACTGAGAAAATCAGCGACTGGTCTCTTCACTGGTTTCTTCTGAAACATTAGCAAAAGAAAAACATTACAGAGGATGTAATAAAAAAAAAACAGATGAACACAGTTAACATTACGGTTAAAAACCACCTTTCCACACTGTTGTTTGAAGCTGAGAAGCGTTTTGTGTCAGAAAATGCTTTTGCACTCTGTGAGAATCAAGCCTACAGTACTCTATACATAGATTATGTAGGAAGAACCTTACCATTCTTTTGTAGTAAACTGGAGTACAGCTACAAAAACTTTTAAAGCTGTCCCTTCTTTATTCTGTAGTCTGTTTTAAGCAAGAAGTTTTCTTGCTTATATTTCAAATACAAGTAACTAATGATGGCTGGAGGATCTGTATACTTTAGGTCTCAGTCATTGTAACTTTTAATTGAGTCTTTTAGAGCATTCGTAAATGTGTGTTTCTCAAGAAAAGCTGATGTCTAGGGTCTGGATTGCAGAGACCAATCCGAAAACTGATGGACAAACATCCCAGTTTGTTTCTTGCTCCTGCCAGTGCCATTCATTCCAACAGAAGCCTTTTCACTTTCCTTTACACTTTTAGACATAGGCTGCTCATCTTCAGCTTTAAGACATATAAATAGTATATTTATATATAAATATACTCAGTATTAGATATACTATGCAGTATATAAAATATAGATTGACTTCACAAATTCAGAGAAAGGAATTTGGAGTTTTAAGAAGTACTTGATAATTTGCTGGTTGAGATTCAAATAAACCATTTAGTGAGTAATTTCTAACAAAGGACACTGATTTAAAACTTCTCAGTTTGGTTACTTTCACTTATACTTTCCATTTATGAAAATACAATTAATAAAGACCACCTGAAAGTGTTAAATCTTTACACACAACTTCTACAAAGAAAGTCAGTGAGTATTCATAATTAAAATAGCACTCAAAACACCTTGATGCAAAGAAATGGGTCATAGCTAAAATGACTGATAGCACTCAGAACTTTGGAGTCTACATTCAGTTTAGTCTCTACTACTTAGATCTACTTTAACTGAGAGAAAACATGCCATTAAAATTGTTTCTCAGACACAAGTAAGATAAGAAATATTTCATTTTCAATTCAGAACTAAAACAGAAACTTGCCTCCAGTAGTATTTACCATGTGATAAGTATTTTCCAAACACACAACAAACTACTCAAGTAAAGAGTTCACTATTGCAGAATGCAGTAAAAAAATCCCTAAAATGAAAATGACAAATGCAAATACAATTTTTTTTTTTATTATTATTATTTTTTTTTTTTTTTTAAAGTAAGGGCTTTCTGGGACCTAGAGAGGCCTGCTTCAGGAAAATAAATTGCAGTTAACCTCATTGCTTAGATATGTATAATAATTCAAATAAGTAAAAATACTTTAATGACAACATTTACTTGCATATTACTTTTAATTCCTCCCCTCCTCAAGTCCATTAGCTTAAGAAAGCATTCTGAGTAGTTTACAGTCACAACAGAGATTTCTAACAGAGAATCTCAGTCAATTCTATGCCGAGTATTTAAAATATAACATAGATTCATGCACACATTACCCATTTTTATGTGAGTTTTAAAGATTTTGCATGGGCTTACCCAGTTCCCAGAGAGGTCCAGCTTTAAAATTATTCAGGCCACTGGTGTGCAACCCCATGATCATAATGCCAAGTATGGAAAAAACTTACTAAGGTTTTAGCAGTATAAGTTACACACTCATAAGTTCAGATCTGAACTGCAAGCTTTTAGAACTGCAATTACAATTACTTTTCAAATATACTGCATTTAAGGCTTGACAGCTTCACAGTTATTGTGGCTGTCTACAAAAAAAAAAATCACTCCTGTGATTCTGCTAAGATTAGATATCAGGACTTTCAGTTTTGGTTTCCCTTTGATCAGGGTAAAAAAAAAAAAATAGTTCAATTGTCAATGAGTGATGGGCTGGTTTGGTCCATCTAACTCAATCAAGTTTTGAAATGAGCATTATTTAAGTTAGATTTTGTAATTATTCATAATAGCATGTTTGCTTTTATATACACAGTGAAACAGTTACAGTGATAACTGAAATATCCTCAGTTGCAATGTAGTTAGAAGGTAGTGAAATAAGCAGGCCTGTCAACATGCTGCTATTGTTTCAAGCTCTGCAAATATAGGGCACAAGTGTCTGCACAAGATACATTTTAGTTACACTTTCTATTTTTATTGACAATCAGAATGGCTGGAGAGTCTCATCAAAATCAAGTTCAAACTCTAGGGAATGGTTGTGGAAACTTTTTCAGTCTATAAAATGATTTCTTGAAAGGCTTGCATGGCAGTTTAGGGTACATCATTCTAAGGTATCTTTCAGAAGTTATATTCAAATAAAAAGTAAAATCTTCTCCTGATGAAACTTCAGAATTACACTGAAAAGTAGGAGCAAAGTAAAAACAATGGAACAAAGCATTATATCTTTTCTTGCAAATACTATCACCCCAAGAGAAAAATATTGTTCTTTATATCACCAACTGCCAAGTACTGGAGAACGGACTATCACTTCCAGATTATCCTCACATAATCTACTTTTCAGATATTACTAGTTTCCATGCTGGGGTTTATGAATTCTCAAACACAGCTAATCTGCACACAGACAAAATGATATTTCTTTTGTTTTCTTTTGGTTCTGTATCACTGCTGCCATGGTTATTTCTACCAGGTCCTCCATGTCCAGAAAGCCTATTCCGTTCTCCATTGTTCCATTCCATTCCATTCCATTCCATTCCACTCCATTCCATTCCATTCTCCACTAGATACCTACCAGAATGCTGGAGAATTTGTACATGTGGCATTAAGCTATTATTTCCTCCCTACTGAAATCTGTAGCATGACCTTTCTGGAAATTTAATTAGAATAAAAATAATCAGCGTGTGTGTTTGCACATGCTATTACTGAAAATACATATACCAGTAGCTAACATAATTCCTGAGCATCTTCACGAAGAGTGTAGTAACTGCATTGTAAGCAGTGACTTTTACATTTATCTTGTATGAGCACTTACTGAAATCTGCTAATGTGTTCTGATAATCTATTATTTATCACAACAGACTCTAACAGTGAGCCTTAGCAGAGTAGTCTCCGGTGTTTACAACACTTTCATCTAAAAACTCTCAGATGTGACAGCAAAGTAGCACCTTAAACCACACATAGGATTTCTTTTGGTTGCAGTTGTTTCATTGCTATTTGCTTATAAAAATAAAACCTTTGTTTCCCTCAGATGCATGACTTGCTTTCATATAAACTACAGCATATAGCAGGTTCCTATAGAAAGCTGTAGATACACAACCACAAGTATTACTTGGGCTTGAGGACATACCTCCATGTTATACTTTTCCACTGTCCTTCTTAAAGGATCCACAACCTGCCAGCAAATCAAGATGCAAAGATCAATGAGTAGCATCCCTCCAACTATCACCATTAACTTCTGGTCTTTAATGATCTGGAGAGAAAAAAAAGAAAAAAGAAAAAAAGGGGAAATTCCCATGAGCCATGGATAGATACCTGTACAGCTTTACGCAGGGAGAAAAAGGCTGCTAATAAAAAGGTATTTTAACAATGGATAGGGAAAATTTCAGAAATACTAAAAGATGAAAGCAAGAAGACAGAAATTATATTAGTTCATTTTGTGGTTATTAGAAGTATCAAAAGTGTGTTCAGACTTCTAAAGAGAAACTGGGAGATTTCTTAAATATTAATATGGAAGTTCAGCATTAAGATTTACACTTGAGAAATTAAAAAATGTCTATCTTAGAGGTCCACTATTGACAATGTATGTATTGTTTATTATATGTATTGTTTATGTATGCAAGTGTGGAAAAATATTTGCAACATCTCTCACAACAGTAGGAATCAAGCAGAGATAGAGTTTTCATAATGATTTACAGTGTAGATCTTCTCATAACTTTGTTGGATCAGGAAAATATGTTTGCAAGGTACTAAAAGGTAAGTTCAAGATGTTTCATGTTTGTGTGTGTGTGTGTGTGTGTGTGTGTATAAAAAACTCTTCCCTCTGTTACCCAGGTAGTAGACAGGGATGACGCATTTTTTTTTCTACATTACAACAGTGAGAGGCACTTAACCATATGCAACTTAAACATGTTTTTAATTCTGCATGAATTGTAGGCTTACAAAGAAAAAAAAAAAATCTTAATAACAAGAAAAGTCCAAACTGTTTTGTATTACAGTCTTGTATAGTTGCATGCAATCCCTATATTATTACTATTACTTTTAAACACATAGCTGCATAAATAAAATACATTATAGGTGCATTATTTCAGTTGCAAAGTTGTCAAAAAGTTCCAAACATCTGGCTTAAATTGATTTTATGTAAGTTTTCTTGTGCCTATGTTTCTGTGTTTGTTGTTGTTGTTGTTGTTGCTGTTTTTTAATGAGTATACTTTTATCACTAATCGTCGTTCAATATTGAAAACATACTGCCAGATCGTTTTTGTATGGACAAACTCACATATTTTTCCGTAGTTGGTTTAATTCAAATAAAATATTCAAAAATATTAAGTCTAAGAGCCTTAATAATTTCAATTCAATTTGATAAACACAATAGGATTTTGAAATAAGGCCATAAGTGTCAGAAAATCTTATGACAGACAAGGCTACCACTCTTGCTTAGAATATTTGCACTGAATTCCTACTAAACTTAAGGAAAGGATAAAAATAAATGCAATTTTAAATAATGTAAAAGGAACCTTAGAAAGTTTGCTTTTCATATTATCTTGTGCAATACATTCTTCATTTGGAAAGAAGTTTTTTCACTATTGTACATTACTCCATTAAACTACTGGGTTATGCTGTAAATCATCTTGAGTAAATTAAACATAGAAATAAGGCTAGCAGTCAGAATGACTTTAAGGACTTGAGGCATTATTTTCATTTCCTGAGACCATTTATTTACATGCATGTAGCTATCATCATTATGATCAGAAAGTGATGCTTTTCATGTTTGTATGAATAATGAGGCAAAAACTCCATCTCATCAGAGATAGGTGCTTGAAAGGGAGGGTGATATAAAGATGCATTACATTACTTTCATTACATTTTGTATCACTGCTGAACAGGCTGGCAATGAGAATTTTGCAAGAAAAAGGTGTTTTGGCAGGGAGGTGGTAAGTACTGCACTGTATTTTCTCAGTGTGGGAAAAGGAAAGCAGGTATTAAGATTCTCTGTCTTTAGTCTTTTTTAGGAAAACACAACTGCATCTGACCATTCACTTCTTAACAAAGTTGCAGTCAAAACTGAAATAAAGGCTGCTAATCACTGAGATTACCCTCTGAAACAAACGTCTATGCATTCAATAGGAGCTATCCAATAGCTCTAAACAGGACATAGGTGAATCACACCTAAATGTTGCTCCAGATTTAAGCAGAGATTAAGTGAGAAAACTACCAGCAGTCAAGTCCAAACAGAATTTGGATTAGACGAAATTGGCTTACTTCAGTCCAAATCCGTCATCCTGAAAACAGTTCCCTCCTAGTAAATTCAGAAGTGTTTTTACCAAAGCTGTTGATCAGAAAGCACCACAGAAGGCTTATGAGCAGGAGAAACCAGTCTTCCCTCAGCCACTGCTCAGAGTTCCTTTGGAAATGTGATCTCCATCCTCATGCACAGAACTACAGGCAGAGGGAGAGGCAGCCCATTTCCCTCTCTGGGACAGATTTAAGAGACAACACCTTCCTTACAAGGAAGAACATGACCTGTGAAGGAGCAATCATTCATCACGTTTAAAACCTTACACTCCAGCTGCCCTGCTAATTCAACACGCTAAGTCAGATTTACATACTCCTGTGTGTAATGTGAAAGGATGATAAGCTTGTAAACTCATTTGTAGCAGCGCACCAAGGGTCACGTTACCCTAACTAGAAGTTACCTACCATAGCAACTCCCTTGATCTGTACTGAATCCATGCAGAATTCATCTGTTTTACAGGAGCTTGTATTTTTTTCTAGGATCTTGCTCCCACTGAGATTTTGTTCAGAATATATACATACATGTAAACTTGCATATATATATATATGTAAGGATTTCACCTTTATTAGAAACATTATTCTTCAAGAATTACTGTTTTAATTAAAGCATTTCTTACTTTAAATAATGGTGAGCATTTCTACTGGGACACCTAGGATAAGTAAAACAAGAGACACACAACCCAATTTATACCAACTGTATTGATATCAAAATTAGAGTTGCATCAGACACAAATTTACTGAGGCCTGCAAATAGCAATACAGCAATTCCAGAAGCAGAAGAGTGAAAGGAGACTATTAAAGTCAGTAATACTGATAATCCACTCATTACTGGGTCAAAGGAAATTGCCATATCTGATATTATCACTTCCTATTTAGGATCACACTGCTAATTGCCCTCCCTTGCTCATGTTCAACTTTTGTTCGTAGCTGACCTTGCACTATTGTAGATGTTGATTCTTGGCCTTCTTTTTTTTTTTTGGCAAGCATCTATTTACTCATTAGAGGAAACAGAGCAAACAGAAAAGCTTTCTCTTGGATACCTCTTGGATAATTTCTTCCTGCATTTCAGAATGGGAAAGGTACATGAGAGCAGCTGTCCCTGGCAGCAGGTATTATTCATCCCTTACTTATGCCAGTGAACAAACTGACAGGATGAACGCAAGGAAAAGAAAGTCCATAAGATAACCTGAGGATGTGATCAGCACTACTGCAATGAGCTTTGTAAAACTCAATTCTACCAATGCTGGATGCACAGTGAGTGGTCTGAAAGCAGGCTGCTGCACACACCCAATCTCATCCTGCTCACTACTTTGCAAAACTGTTGAGGTAATGCAGTTATTGAGCAGAACTCTTCATCAAAACACTAGATTTTCAGAGATTTAATTATTTGCTTAAATGGGAAGCCATATCTATGGGTCTTAATGGTGCTGACAGCACTGAATTCTAATAATGTTACCTTTACTGGGAGAAATGCAGTAATTCAATTTGTCTCTTATTATGTCAGGATTGCCCTAAGATTAAATTAAATAAAACAAACAGCTTTTATCTTTTGATGCTTCACATCTACCTCACTGAAACTATTTTAGACTGCAGAAAAAAAGAATAGCTTTTTATAAGAGCACTGTTGGGAAGAAAACACAGATGCTAACCTACGTTGGTGCTTCCTCTCCCCCAGCTATTTAAAGAGCTCTTCTTCAGCATGTGATTAGCACCTTTGTCCTAACATGCATTTACTCTGCCAATGCCACTGGCATATCACTCCCAGCAATTGCTGATCTCCCTGCTCCACCCATAGGAAGCCCAGCTTTCCTTCTCTTCAGCCATTACTCCCACCCACCAGCACTTTTAAGTTCAGTACAACCACTCCCTGGAAACACCAGATGTACCGAAGGAGTCTTGACTCAGATCTTGTGAATCCAACAGAATTTCTCTGACTGACAAAAGAAAGTCACGAGTAACTCACTTGCTCCTTACCATCAGATATATCATTCTTGCAGAGGAACGTTCTGATTCTTCTTCCCCTTTTCACCCTCCCTCTAGCATACGGTAAATCAATCTTGGGAGAAATGCATAGTAACTAATAAAATCCATTTTTAGGAGTGCTCCTGTGCCCTTGCTGAAGCCAAGCTCTCATACAGGAGCATCTGTGAATATTATTTTCTACCATCTGTGGTTGGATAGGTGAATCTGTCTCATCCTGGCAGATCAACCCACTGTTATAAATGCCACTGCTACCAGCCTGGACTATATATCTGGACACGAGGCTATCTGTCTTCCAAACAAGTTTCTTCAGAACAGTGACTGGTAAGCTATTTTCTCTTCAGTAACACTGCTATATGAGTACATCAAACTCTTATCTGCAAACTGGTGGCTTAGTGACCATGAAGATAAGTTCAAGATTGAAGTCCTTACCTTCCCTGAACTATGTGGTCTGATCACAGGAGATGTGATATCTGTTTAAAGCTCTGGGAAGAAGCTTCTGCTCACGAAATTCTTGAGGATTTTATCAAAATATCACAGGCTTTACTACTTGCCACAGCAACTTCAAATGTCCAAATGACTATTTTTTTTTCATAGAATTTTTGTGAGTTGTTTTGTTTGTTTTCTAAAGCACAGCCATTGTGCTCTGTAGGACCCTAACCTCAAGCAGTGTATGAAATCAACAGATAATTTGGTAAAACAGCAATAAATCATTACAATTGCTTTTTGTGCTTAAGGCTAAGGCAAGCTTTGTTTTCTCATTTCTTACCTTATTAGAAAATGACTTTGCAAATGTTGTCTTTTCATATATGATGTGGACCTTAAAGCCAAACTCACTGTTTTAAACCAACAACAAAGACTCTTATATGTAAAGACTTACTCTCCTCTCCAGCATACACCTTTAGCTTTCCACTAGCTTTTTCGTGAATAGCTTTGTATTCAATAGTTCATTTCCTCTTGCCTTTAAGGTTTACTTTG